TAAAGACACGCAGGATTCAAAACCAGTTTTTATGCAGTTATCAGGATTTATGAAAATAACACGCAGTGGGTTTGGTTTCAAAGACGTTCAGGAAAGAACCCAGAGCCAGTAATTCAACAAATGGCCTGTAGGTGACAGTGTCATAGCACAATTTATTTCAAAGATGTCCTGGATGTATGAATGCAATAATGCCTTGGTTATCTGTAGTGGATTAATTCCAGGACCTCCCGCGGATACCAGACACCACAAATGCTGAAATCTCTAGTATAGAACACGTATGACAGGTGTGATGGCTCACACCTGTCAACCCAGCGCTTTGGGAGGCTGAGGGGGGAGGACTACTTGAGGCCAGGAGTTCAGGACCAGCCTGGGCAACATAGCAAGACCTAGAATCTACAAAAAAATTTTTAAATGAGCCGAGTGTGTTGGCTTATGCTTGTTGTCCCAGCTACTTGGAAGGCTGAAGCAGAAGGACTGTCTGATGCCAGGAGTTTGAGACCAGCCTAGGCAACATATGAGACCCTGTCTCTACAAAAAAAATTTTTTTTTTCAATTAGCAAAATGTGGTAGCACACATACGTAGTCCCAGCCTGAAGCAAGAGGATCACCTGAGCCCAGGAGGTCGAGGTTGTGGTGAGCCATGATTGTGTGACTGCACTCCAGCCTGGGTGATGGCGTGAGACCTTGACTCAAAATAAATAGTTGATAGATAGATAGATAGATAGACAGGCATATGATAGACTGGATAGACAGATAAGTGATAGATGATAGACATATACATAGATGACAGGATGAATAGATAGATGCAGAGATGATCAATTGATTAGGACTGTATCTGCATACACCATACACACATACCCCTATACACTTTAAGTCATCACTAGATTATGTAAATGCTATATAGTTTATTATATTGTTTAGAGAATAATAATAGGAAAAAATGTCTGTGCATCTTCAAATATTTTCAGTCCTCAACTGGGTTGGTTCAATCTATGGATGCACATACAAATGGTCGACTTTATATCAGACTATAGGGATGACATTACTCCCCTTTTTTGGGGGGGTTGGAGTCTCACTCTGCCACTCAGACTGGAGTGCAGTGGCCGCTCCCGGCCACCGCAGCCTCAACTTGCTGGGCTCCGGCGATCCTTCTGCCTCAGCCTTCCAAGTAGCTGGAACTACAGGCACACACTACCACGCCCGGTTTTTTATTTATTGTAGAGATGAGGTCTCGCCAAAGTGCCCAGGGGAGTCTCGAACCCGCGGGCTCAGGCAATCCACTCACCTCAGCCTCCTAAGGCATGGGATTACAGGCTGAGCCACCAAGCCTGGCTATTTCTCCCTCTTAAAAGCATGATGGTGCCATTGCTTTCAGAGAAATAGACATATTGCAAATTATACAGGCTATGGAAAAGCCTTTTTTATGTTAACCTCTCCAATCCATTATTCACCAACGTTAGGATGCGGGAGCAGGAATGGAAGAAAGAAAACGCTGAAATAAGTTTTCTCAAAGAAGTCGATCGACTATGTAATCCAGCAATCCCACGACTGGGTATCCACCCAAAGGAACAGAGGGTGTTATATAGCAAAGACATCTACACCCACATGTTTATCGCAGCACAATTCTCAGACACAAACATGTGGAATCAACTGAAAAGTCCATCAACTGGCCAGCAGATAACGAAAATGTGGTATATCTACACCACAGAATGCTATGCAGCCACCAAAAAGAATGACACAAGTCCTTTGCAGCAACTTGGCTGCAGTTGGACACCATCAAGCCAAGTGAAGTAATGCAGTAGCAGAAAACTCAACATTGCATGTTTTCGCTTAAAAGTGGGAGCTGAGTTCGGGCTCTGCAAAGGCCGAGAGATGGTGTGAGGGATGTTGGAGACTCAGAAGAGGGAGGAAGAGGGATGAAAAATCACCTGCCGAAGACAGTGAGCACAGGTGGGGGTGGTGGGTGCACTCAAAGCCTAGACTTCTCACCAATATACAAAGCAGCTACAGAACCAAGAACAATTTGTAGCCCTACAGCTATAAAATAAATGTAATTTTTAAAGTAATTTAAAAAGAAATAAAATTAAAATGTAAACAATTAAAAATAAATATAGAAATTTAAAAAACACTCCAAAATATCTCTTTTTCAAATGGAAAATTCCAGGGAAAAATAGTATAAAATACCCCATTTTGTCTGTATTCTTTTGACTCTGTCAGGGCTTTAATGCCCCGTATAATGGTTTGACAGCCTGACTCCCCGAGTTGTAGGGAGTTGCATTTATATTTAATTACACATGGCTCCCAAGCCACGACGGTTGGACTCAATGGCTTTTCAAATTGACCACGGTGTGAAAACGACACATATTCAGTAGAAATCGTACTTTGAATTTCAGTGTTTTCCTGAGCCAGGACCACGTGGTATGATGCTCTCTCAAAGCTGGGAGTAGAAGTAAACCCATTCTGTATTTTCTTTCCAGCAGCAATAGCCAACAAATGGCCCAAGAGCATCAACACTTTATGATAAAATAGGGTCTGTGTTTCAGGGTTTTGCCCAATGGTTGACTGACGTGAGTGCTCTGGTCATGTTTAAAGTAGGCAAGGTTGCCTGTGATGTTCGGGAGGCCACCTTGTCCTATCTTATCCATCTTCTGCTTCTGGAAACCAGAAGTATCTTATCTCATCCTATCATTTATCTCATCTCACCCCACCTGACTTATAGTCCTGGGAGCCAGAAGTATTTTACCTCATTCTTTTATTATAGCTCTAGGAACCAGAATTCTCTTATCTTGTCATGTCTTACTTCATCTCATCTTATCTTAGAGCTCTGGGAGCCAGAAGCTTCTTGCCTTGTCTTGTTTGATCTTATCTATCTTATATCTTCCCGTGCCTTGTGTTATCTAGCTTACAGTTTTGGTAGCCAAAGTATCTTATCTTATCCTATCTGATCTAACCTATCTTATAGTTCTGGGAGCCAGAAGCATCACAGCTTGTCTAATCTAAGTTTTATAGCCAAAAGTATCTTATCTCATCTCATCTATCTATCTTATGGATCTGGGAGCCAGAAGTACCTTATCTTATCTTGTCTTATTTATCTTATCCACCTTGCAGTCCTGAGAGCCAGAAATATCTTATCTATCTTATCTCATCTCTTATAGTTCTGGGAGCCAGAAATATCTTGTCTTATCTGCCTTAAATCCTGGGTCCATAGAATCTTATCTTGTTTCATCTTGTCTTGTCTACCTTATAGCTCTGGAAGCCAAAAGCATCTTATCTTATCTTGCCTTATTTTATCCTGTCACATCTATCTTATAGTGCTAGGAGCCAGAAGTATCTTGTCTTGGCTTGTCTTATCTTATCTTATAGTTTTGGTAGCCAAAAGTAACTTACCTTATCTCTTTTTTTTTTTTAAGCCAGTAAATGTTAGGGTAGTGTTTTTGTTTTGTTTTGCTTTTGAGCCCAGGCTGGAGTGCAGTGGCACGCACACTCATGGCCACCCCAGCGTCGACCTGCTGGACTCTAGCAATCCTTCCGCCTCAGACTTCCAAGTAGCCAGAGCTACAGGCACCCACTACCATGCCTGGCTAATTTTTTATTTATTGTAGAGATGAGGTCTCACCGAGCTGCCTGGGCTGGTCTCGAACCCACTCACCTTGGCCTCCCAAAATGCTGGGATTACAGGCTGAGCCACCGAGCGCGGCCACTTATCAATCTTATCTTGTCTCATCTGTCTTATAGTTCTGGAAGCCAGAAGCATCGTATCATATCTGTCTTTTCTTATCTCACCTATCTTATAGTTCTTGGAATCAGAAGCATCTTATTTTATCTTGTCTCATTTATCTTATAGTTCTGGGGGCCAGAAGCATCTAATCTTATCTTATCTCATCTCATCTATCTTATAGTTCTGGGAGCCAGAAGCTTCTTATCTTACCATCTTGTCTCATCTGTCTTGTAGTTCTTGGAGACAGAAGCAGCTTATCTTGTCTTATCTACCTATCTATCTATCTTATCTTGTTTCAACTATCTTATAGTTCTGGGAGCCAGAGTATCTTATCTATTTTATCTTATCTCACCTCACCTATCTTATAGTTCTGGGAGACAAAAGCATCTTATCTTATGTTATCTTATCTGTCTTATCTTGTCTCATCTATTTCTGGGGGCCAACAGCATCTTATTGTGTCTCTAATTTTGTCTTGTCTCACCTATCTTACAGTTTTGGGAGCCAGAAGTATCTTATCCTATCTTCCTTATCTATTATCTATCTTAGCTTTTCTAGTCTCATCTGTCTTATAGTTCTGGAAGCCAGAAGTCCAGTGGGCTAAAATCAAGGCATTGGCAGGTCTGGCTCCTTCTGGAGGCTCCAGGGAGAATCTGTCTCCTGCCTTTTCCAGCCTCTGGAAGATGCCACATTCTGTGGCTCCTGGCCCCTCCCCCATCTCCAATCTTCAACTCTCTCTCTCTGTCTCTAGCCTCTGCTTTCATCATCGCAGTTCCATCCTCTCTAACTCAGACTCTCCTCACTCTCTCTTCTCAGGACCCTTTTCATGACTCAGATCCCACCCGGATAACCCAGGACCATGTCACCCTCTCAAGGTCCGTCACTCAACCAGGCTGTAAGGTCCTTTTTGCCATGCCAGCCCATGTCCACCAGTCTGGGAACCAGGGCATAGACATCTTCATGGAATGAGCTTTATTGGGTCTACCATAATTAGGGGGGTTTTCTTTTTTCAGTCAGAGTCTCACTCTGTCATCCAGGCTGGAATGCAGTGGCACACTCATGGTTACTACAGCCTCAACCTCCTGATCCACCTGCCTCAGTCTCCCATTTGGTCTATCATCATCTAAATAAATGCGGGAGCCCCCGATGCCGGAATGAATGGAAGGCTGGCTCTTCCCTCCATCTCTCCTCCCCAGGGAGCCCTGAAAACTGGCTATCTCCTCCCTCTCTTGGGGGAACCGGCTCCTCAGTCCCTGTCACACCTATGTAGCGTACTGGTACTCACATCCTCTGAATGGCACTCTTCAGGCAGGGATGGGGTCTCAGCCTCTACCACGGTTGGCTCCGGACAATCTTCAGCAGGCCGGTGGTGGGACCCCAGTGCTGAATCTGCACACGGCTCTTCAGCGCCAAGTGCTAAATTTGCACACGGCACATCAACACCACTGAGGGAAACCTACACAGAAAAATCAACATACCGAGTGAGTCTTCCTGAAAATTCCTCGATTCACCCGGTCTCCACAGAGTCTCTGTGCAGCCAGGGCTCCTACCCACTCATCCATACTCCTTAAATGATAGACCTCAACTTTTTTTTAAACATTTCTTTTTCAACATGGTTTAAACATGTGCAAAGTGCCACTTGGTATATTTCACTTTTATTTTACCTTCCCCCCCCCCCGCCCCATTTTTTATAGAGATGGGGGTCTTCCTCTGCGGCCCAGGCTGGTCTTAAACTCCTGGACTTAAGCAACCCTCCTGCCTCAGCCTCCCAACATGCTGAGATTAGAGGTGTGAGTCACCACACACAGCTTACTTTATTAGTTTATGCTTCTGAGTCAGAGTCTTACTTACTCTGTCATTCTGTTACCAAGGCAGGAGTGCATTGGCACAGTTACAGCTTGCCACAGCAATGACATCCTGAGTTCAGGCAATCCTCCCTCCTCAGCTTCCCAAGTAGCTGGGACTACAAATGCACGCCACCACACATGGCAAAATTTTCCTTTTTTTTAGACATGGGTTCTTACTATGCTGCCCAGGTTGGTCTCAAACTTCTGGGCTCAGGTGATATTCCTTCCTCAGCTTCCCAAGTAGCTGGAACTACAGCCACACACCACCACAACCAGCTAATTTTCTCATTTTTTGTAGATATGGGGTTTTACTATGTTGCCCAGGCTAGTCTCGAACTCCTGGGATCAGGCGATTCTCCCACCTCGGCCTCCCAAAGTGCTAGGATGACAGGCATGAACCACCACACCAGGCAAAATGTGTAGTACATTTTTTTTTTTGAGTTGGAGTCTCACTCTGTCGCCCAGACTGGAGTGCAGTGGCCGCTCCCGGCCACCGCAGCCTCGACCTGCTGAGCTCCGGCTATCCTTCCGCCTCAGCCTTCCAAGTAGCCGGAATTACAGGCATGCGCTACCACGCCCGGCTGATTTTGTGATTTATTGTAGAGATGAGGTCTCGCTGCCCAAGTGGGTCTCAAACCCGCAGGCTGAGGCAATCCACTCACTTCAGCCTCCCAGAGGCGCAGGATTACAGGCTGAGCCACCGAGCCTGGCTTGTGTAGTACATTTAAATGTTAAGTCGCGGCTGGGCTAGGTGGCTCAGCCTGTAATCCCAGTACTTTGACAGGCCGAGGTGAGTGGATTGCCTGAACCCGCGGGTTCGAGACTTGGTGAGACCTCGTCTCTATAATAAAAAAACAAAAAAATAGCTGGGTGTGGTAGCTAGTGCACATCTGTAGTTCCAGCTACTCGGAAGGCTGAGGCGGAAGGATCGCCGAAGCCCAGCAGGTCAACGCTGGGGTGGCCGTGAGCGTGCATGCCACTGCACTCCAGTCAGGGTGAAGGAGTGAGACTCCAACTATAAAAATAACAATAATAAAATAAGTAAATAAATAAATGTTAAGTCTCCATCCCAAGGTGGACATGGGTCATGTGTTACATGTGTGTTTGTGGAATACACCCCCCCATCATGAATATTCATAGCTCCTCCTGTAACCTCATCAATACGCATGTTTAGTTACCTTGTTCAGCTTAAACCTCCTGTCCCAACCCCTCCTCCTTCTAAGCCTCTGTCTCTCTGGTCTTGGCCAGGCTCCAGGAAGGCCACCTTGCTGACTATAACCTTTTACAAGAAATAAAGCCTCATCTCCATATTTACAGATCTCGTGATTTTTAAGTTAATGATACCAAAAACTGAAATGTGAATTCAGCTGGGTATGGTGGCGCACGCCAGTCATCCTAGTGTTTGGGGAGGCTGAGACAGGAGGATCACTTTATCCCAGAAGTTTGAGAACAGCCTGGTCAACAGAGTGAGATCCCATCACCAAAAAAAAAAAAAAAACAAGCAAAAAACAAGTGAATTATTTTTAATACCCCAGGCAACGCATCTAATAGCAGCTAACGCCCTTGTATGAGTAAATCCCCTAGTTAAAAAGAAACAAAAGTCAATGAAGAATAAAATGTTTCCTGGGACCTGATTTCAAAAGGTCTTTTGCAAATTACATGCATTGGACAGCCTGCAAACACTCCACTGTTGAGCACATCCTAGGGCCATCATTCCATTTCTAAACATCAAATTGGCGTCAATCAAGCCCTCCAGACACTTAGCCTCTAATTGCTACCTCCAATGACTATTTCAAGTGGGAAGTGTCCTGATGTGCTAATCAGTCACCATCAGCCACATCATCTGTGAGAGTCCCTGACTCAGATGAGGACAGCTAATTAAATAACCTATTTACACACTGGTCCTGCTATAAATCACACCAACACCTCTACTCATTAAACGGTCTCCATTTTGCGCCAAAAAATTTTTCTAAATTAAACAATTAAATTAATTAAAGAATTCATTAATCTTAAAAAGTACCCCACATAATTATAATAAAATAAAGTTAATTTAAAAAAAAGTTTTAAAAACGTCTTTGTCAGGCTGGGCTTGGTGGCTTGGCCCGTAATTCCGGCACTTTGGGAGGCCAAGGCGAATGGATTGCTTGAGCCTGTGGGTCTGAGACCAGTCTGGGCAACTTGGCGAGACCTCATCGCTACAATAAATAAAAAATTAGTCGGGCGTAATAGTGCACACCTGTTGTTCTGGATATTTGGAAGGTTGAGGCGGAAGGATCGCCAGAGCCCAGCAGGTTGACGCCGGGGTGGCCATGAGTGTGCCACTGCACTCCAGCCTGGGCGACGGAATGAGACTCCAACTCAAAAACAAAACAATACAAAACAAAAAAAATTTCTCTGTTTCTTTAAAATCCTTCCACTTGAAATAACAGTATTTAGAAACTAAATCTGAATTTAGTGGTAAATCTGAAGAAAACACACCAGGTATCGGTCACAGGGTGGCTATCTTTATCTTCAGCTATGGGTTTTGCTTTGTTTTGTTTCTAGTTGGGGTCTCACTCTGTTGCCCTGGCTGGAGTGCAGTGGCATGCTCATGGCTCACCGCGGCGTCGGCCTCCTGGGCTTCTGTGAACCTCCCACCTCAGCCTCCAGAGTATCTGGGACTACAGGCATGCATCACCACACCCAGCTAATTTAAAAAAATTTTTTTTGGTAGAAACAGTATCTCACTGTGTTGCTCAGGCTGCTTTCAAACTCCTGAGCTCAGGCAATCCTCCCACCTTACCCTCCCAAAGTACTAGGATGGCAGGCATGAGCCTTCATGCCCAGCCTCAACCATGGGTTTGAAGAGGAATCCCGCACTTACCGTGTGTCCTGGAGATGTGTGTGTCTCCCCAGCTTTGACACTTTCATAAAGAGGCAGCACCATTGTCTGATAGATCTTCCACCAGAGATTAAGGAATCCCACCTGGTGCTGAGTGCTTGATCCTGGGTCCTGCTCCCAAACCGACCCAGTCTGAGGACTGTACTTGTAGTTCCATGGCTTCGTGGACCCCAAAAAATGGACTACCTTGGCACTGGAACCGAATCTGAGGAAGGAAACAAAGGAGATTCTAATGTCTACTTGGAAGTGGTCAAAGATACTCAGAAACCAATCAATAACGGCTGGACTCCTCAAAGACAGCCTCAAAAAGGACTTGCCCAAACAGGTTGAGCTATTGGTAATAAAATCATCACTACAACTTTGACTTGCTGCTATTTTCCATAAACACACACACACAAATATATATATATTTTTGAGATGGGATCTTGCTCTGTAGCCCAGGCTGGAATGCAGTGGCATGATCATAGCTCATCGCAGCCTTGAATTTGTGGCTTCAAGTGATCCTCCAACTTTGGCCTTCTGAGTAGCTGGGAGTCAAGGCATGCACCACCACACCTGGTTATTTTATTTTTATTTTTCTGTAGAGATAGGGTCTTACTATGTTGCCCAGGCTGGTCTTGAACTCTTGGCCTCAAGTGAGCCTCCTGCCTTGACCTCCCAAAGTGCTGGGATTACACATGTGAGCCACCACGCTTGGCCTAGGTATTTTTTTTTTTTTAATTGCGGTTTTGGTTATTTCATTTTCTATACTCCAAGAAACATAATCATAACCCAGTGAAATTGTCCCCCAAAACTAGAAGAATAAATCACTCTTTTAGAGTGGCCAAGACAGAAGAAGTCCAAATTGCAAAATTCTTAAAATCACAGAGACAAAAAAAAAAAAAAAAATAGCTTTCATAGTAGATAATGTCATCTGCAAAAAAAGACAGTTGGCTTTAAAAAAAAGATTCTGAGTTTTTCCCTCTCAATATTTTTTGTTGTTGAACTTTTGGGTACCTTTCAGGCAGCTTTATTCCTTCAATCACCTCGCCATGAAATTTTAATTTGTGAGACGGGATCTCACTCTGTCACCCAGGCTTGAGTGCAACGGCACAATTATAACTCACTGCTGCCTCGAATTTTTTACCTTAAGAGATCCTCCCACCTCAGCTTGCCAAGAGCTGACCACACCTGGCTAATTTTAAAAAAATTTATTCTGCTAGTTTTCTGTGATTGTACATTTTATTTATTTATTTATTTATTTTTTAGTTGGAGTCTCACTCTGTTGCCCAGACTGGAGTGCAGTAGCATGCTCCCAGCCACCGCAGCCTCGACCTTCTGGGATCCAGCGATCCTTCCGCCTCAGCCTTCCAAGTAGCTGGAACTACAGGCGCACGCTACCACACCCGGCTAGTTTTATTTATTTATTTATACATAAATAAATAAAACTACTGTAGAGACGAGGACTCACCAAGTTGCCCAGGTGGGTCTCGAACCCGCAGGCTCAGGCAATCCACTCGCCTCAGCCTCCCAAAGTGCTGGGATTACAGATTGAGCCACCGAGCCCGGCTGATTGCACATTTTACAAAAATGTTTTTTGGTCCTCAAGAATCAACTTCTGTCTCTTCGGGGACATTATGGCCCAGAAAATGCACATGCTAGAATTATTCTTTCCCAAGTTTATTCTCATATGTTCTGTTTTCATTTAAAGCCAAGTCTCTTGTCACAGTGAATTTCAAAATTCTTGGTCCCCCGAACCCCTGAAACTCTAAGGAGCCGAAACAACTCTGCTCAAGCGGAAACTATCTACCGGCATTTACCACAATGTAGATCAAAACTGAGAGGTTACAAAATACATTTATTGATACATTTGAAAAATAATTATTGGCTGGGCACAGTGACTCACATCTGTAATCCTAGCACTTTGGAAGGCCAAGATGGGAGGATGGCTTTAGCCCAGGAGTTCGAGACCAGCCTAAACAACATAGCGAGAACTCCATCTCCACAAAAAAATTAAAACATAAAAAATCAGCTGGGCACGGTGGGGTGTACCTGCAGTCCTAGCTACTTGGAAGGCTGAGGTGGAAGGACTGCCTGAGGTCAGGAGGCCTGAGGTTGCTACGGTGGACATGAGCGTGTCACCACACTCCAGCCTGGGCAACAGAGTGAGACTCTGTCTCAATAAACAAAAATCATCATTAGCCAGGCACAGTGGCTCACACCTGTAATCTCAACACTTTGGGAGGCTGAGGGGAGAGGATCACCTGAGGCCAGGAGTTCGAGACTGGGCAATATAGCAAGATCCTGTCTCTAGGGGAAAAAAAAATTTTTTTTTACTAAAAATAAGAAAAGAAAAATCCAATACTACACATGGCATGCCTGCATCAAAACATCACATACACCCCAGTGAGCCAGCACCTGCAATCCTGGACTTAATGTATGAAAATAATCCACCCTCTCCAGATCCAAGATTGAAATTGAGACAGATACTGTCATTGCACTGAGAGCTCCTATTTCTCGAAAAAGGAACACATTTGGTGTCTGACTGACAAACTTAACTCGGGATGCACTGAGCCAGAATTATTTTAAAACCATCCCATGACGAATGTGTTCTTACTTAAAATTGTGATTTAGATGCAAGGGATCTGTGTGCAGGTTTGTAACTTGGATGCATTGCATGATGGCAACGTCCGACTGGTACTGAGCCATCAGCCGAGCAGTGAACGTGGCACCCAGTGGGAGGTTTTTCAACCCTGACCCCCACCCTCTCTCCTGCCTTGGGAGTCCCTGGTGTCTGCTGGTCCCAGTCCTGGTAGAAATTCGGAAAAAAAGGGAGAAAAAAGGTCCCCGAGTTTAGTTCTAACTGTGAGGAACGTCCTCCCACCCAAGGCAAAAATCTGCCAGAGAAACCTCAGCTCTAACTGCCAGAAAATGCGGCATTGGGCGGTTACACGTAATTTGGGACACGCCCAGCAAGAACAGATTTAAACTACTCCATTATGAATTTGTTATTGTTTTTATATTAAATTCATAAATCGATATAAATCATATTATTAAATTACAAATTTGAATAAATTATATTTATATAATTACATACTAATTGTATATAATATATATGTCCCTTCATCCATTCACCTTTCCATCCATCATCTATCATCTATTATCCATCCTTCCAGGATTCCATACATATAAATATACATGTTTATATATAATATATAGATATATAATTATAGACTAATTACTTTATAATTAAAAACAATTATTTCTATCAACATGAATATAATTTATAAATGTATACGTCATATAAAAATATATGACTTACATAATTTTATATAAAAAATTATATGCAGAGAGTGCCAAAAAATGTACCCACATTTTCAGAAAGGAAAAAAACTGTATTAAAATGGCAATACTCAATCTATACCAATAACAAAAGATGAATAAAAGTCACGTTTGACTTCTGCAATTAAAACAGGTTCTCAAAGTGGTCACTATCAGAGTCCACACACTTCTGATGATGGCGAATGAAAGGCAATACATAGATAACACCTCTTAAAATGTGTACACGGTTTTTTGGCAACCCCGTTATTGTATTTGATATGTGTTGTTATTATTGCTATTGTTGTGTTTTTACTATTATTTTAAATTTAGGGAGTACATGGAGATTAAAACTGAAAAATAAATACAAATATACTTCATATATGTATATAAACCCACAGCAATTAAAAAATTTTAGACTATATTAAGAACAAAAAAAGACAGAAAAACAACTCATTATACGTTAACACAAATTTCATCTTTTGTCATGAGGACAAACCCTGTGTTTAATATTTTCGTATTGGGGTCTGGGGCTCACTCTGACACCAGGGCTGAAGTGCAGCGGCACGATCGTAGCTCACCACAGCCTCTATCTACTGGGCTCAGGCAATCCTCCCCCCTCAGCCTCTCAAGTAGCCAGGACTACAGGTGCCACCGTGCTCAGCTAATTTTTTTACATTTTTGTAGAGATGAAGTCTAGGTCCGTTGCCCAGGCAGGTCTTGAACTACTGGGCTCAAGTGATTCTCCCGCCCTGGTCTCCCAAAAGTGCGGGGATTATAGACATGAACCACTGTGCCCAGCCTTAAAATATACATTGTGAGAAGGTCATCCTAAGAGACTGGCCCTTCATATTTTTGTGTTCATTCTATTGCCTTATCACACGCCACACAGTTTATTCAAAATCCCACCATATATGCAAGAGAAAATGAGAGTGGAAAGGGAAAATCCCATCTTAGAATTATTTTTCTAAAGTACCTTTGACTTTGAAGACACTTGAGAGTGCTGGGGGAGCCCCTCCCAGGGTTCCTCAGGCAAGACTTTGGGACTCACAGTCTTAATGCCTCGAACTATCATTTACAGCAGTAAGAAAGCAGAAAGATGACAGACAGAAAGACAGACAGATAGGATGGATAGATAGATGATAGATAGACATAGATGAGGAATAGAAAAAGATGGAAAGATAGATGATAGATATAGGTAGATGATAGATTGGATGGATAGATAGATGATAGAGATAAGACAGTTGCAGAGATAGATGGAAAGATAGAGATAGATGATAGAGACAGACGAAAGAGATAGTTGGAGAGAGAGATGAAAGATGGATGGAAAGATAGAGATAGATAGATACAGACAGATATAGAGATAATTGTAGAAATAGATGGAATGATTAATATAGATAAATGATAGATTGGATGTGGATAGATGATACATACATACATACATACATACATACATGGAAAGTTGGATGGATGGATGGACAGACGGATGGACGGACAGATGGACGGGAATGTTCACCATGGTAGAGAACTTACTGTTTAAAGGCAGGGCTATAAGTGTATGCAGTGTTACTACTCAGGTTATAGATGAACGGCAGGTGCTTGTGGATGTCTGCCGTCGACCAGCTACTGAAGAAGCTATTCAGTAAGCCTTGATCTGCCCCTATGAAATGAATAAATGCAAAAAAAGAGGTTAATAAAATGCAGGGCAGTCCCCCTCACAGAATGAATAGTGCATAAGAGTTGAGAGTTGGAGAATCTGACCTGATTTCACAGCGAATGTTTCACGTTTCAGGCTCTCTTTCCTTCTTTCTGCTCTTCCTGCCCATCCATCCTTCTGTTCATATAGACTGGACTTATTCTGGGAAATATTTCCTTTTACTTTGAACAGAACTAGCCCTTTACTTCCTGTGTCACCTTTTCAAAGTTCCTCACAGAGCTTTTACTCAAGATGGAACATACCATGCAGTTTCTGTGTCACATTTTCAGAGTCCCTCTCAAAGCTTTTACTCAAGACAGAACTAGCTCTATATTTCCTGTGTCACCTTTTCACAGTTCCTGTCCGAGCCTTTACTAAGAACAGAACTAGCCCTTTAGTTCCAGTGTCACCTCTGCAAAGTTCCTGCCAAATCTTTGACTAATGAGCGAACTAGTCCTTTGGTTCCTGTGTCACCTTTTCAAAGTACCTGTCAAAGTTTTTACTCATGACAGAACTGGCCCTTTGGTTCCTGTGTCACCTTTTCAAAGTTCCTGCCAAAACTTTTACTCAGGATGGAACTAGCCCTTCTGTTTCTGTGTCACATTTTCAAAGTTTGAACGAACTAGCCCTTTACTTCCAGTATCACTGTTTCAAAGTTTCTGTCAGAGGTTTTACTCAAGAGGAAGCTAACCCTGAAGTTTCTGTGTCACTTTTTCAAAGTTCCTCCCAGAGCTTTTACTAGAACAGACTAGCTAGCCCTTTAGTTCCTGCGTCACCTCTTCAAAGTTCCTGCCAAAGCTTTTACTAAGGATGGAACTGCCCCCATTGTTCCTGTGTCACATTTTCAAAATTCCTGCCAAAGGTTTTATTCAGGATGAAACTACCCCTGTTGTTCCTGTGTCACCTTTTGAAAGTTCCTGTCAAAGCTTTCACTCATGACGGAACTAGCCCTTTGGTTCCTGTATCACCTTTTCTTTCTTTCTTTTTTTTTGAGTTGGAGTCTCACTCTGTCACCCAGACTGGAGTGCAGTGGCCACTTCCGGCCACCGCAGCCTCACCTGCTGGGCTCCGGCGATCCTTCCGCCTCAGCCTTCCAAGCAGCCGGAACTACAGGCGCGCGCTACCATGCCCGGCTAATTTTTGATTTATTGTAGAGACGAGGTCTCGCCAAGTTGCCCAGGCAGGTCTTGAACCCGCGGGCTCAGGCAATCCACTCACCTCAGCCTCCCAAAGGCATGGGATCACAGGCTGAGCCACCGAGCCCAGCTTGTGTCACCTTTTCAAAGTTCCTGTCAGAGCTTTTACTCGGGACATGACTCGGTCTGTAGGTCCTGTGTCACCTTTTCAAAGTTCCTGCTGAAAGGATAGACTGAGAGCGAAATGCGTTTTTAAAATCTTGTTCCTAAACCTTAATACAACGATAAGAAAGCAGAAGCTATGGTTTTGGAGAAATGCACATTTTACGTAAAATTAACTTTGCCAACTTTGTCTTTTCAGAAACAGACTTACCTCAAAGTGGCAACCAAGCTTGCCTAGAGTAAAGGGAATTTACAGGTCTAAGACATCATGCATTGGGCAAGGATTGTAAAAGTCACGAAACTTGTAATTACAAAAGTTATGACCACTCAGAGGGAGAGCAGGTGGGGATTCGATCTTCCAGTAAATTGGGCCCTATCTACAGAGAAGCCAAGGATCCCCCGAAGCTATCCACTGGGAATGCCTAGAAAATAAGGGGAAGTGCACCCTCCATTAGCTCTAAGGAATGTCATTCAGGAAGGTGCAGGAGAATTAGAATCCTTGTCACGCCCTTCCCTAGGGGCTATGATAATATGGACAGACATTAATGGGTCTCTGGGTCACAGGCTCTCCCAGACATCCACAGGTGGTCGATAAGGAAGTCACAGCAGTCACATCTACCTGATTGCATCATCTCCCAGGAAAAGAATTTAAGCCAGGACTCTGGGGGGCTACACCGCCACACTCACCTAGAGTGTAGGCCCGCTCCCTGTCTGTGGGGGACAAACTTTTCTTAAATAAATCTTATCTTCTCTCACCTCTTTGTGTTGTAATTCTTTGCATTTATTCAGATCTCTGGGTTGCCAGCTCGCACCTCTGGCATGCAGGCTCTGGCGACTGCACCCCCCTCTGCTGTGCTTCTCCTTCTCCATCCATCTCACCTTCACCCTATCTGTGCCCTAACAACCTGCCAAAACTTTTACTAAGGATGGAACTACCCGTTGCTTGTGTTGCATTTTCAAAGTTCCTGGCAAAGCTTTGACTCGGCATGGAACTAGTCCTTTGCTTCCTGTGTCACCTTTTCATAGTTCCTCTGAGAGCTTTTACTCAGGATATAACTCAGCTTTCAGTTCCGGTGTCACCTTTTCAAAGATCCTCCCAGAGCTGCTACTAGAACAAACTAGCCCTTTAGTTCCTGTGTCATATTTTCAGTTTCAATCAGAGCTTATACTCAGGACATAACTTGAACACTCATTCTTGTGTCTCCTTTTGAAAGTTTCTGCCAAAGCTTTCACTCAGGACATAACTTGGCCTTTAGTTCCTATGTCACCTTTTCAAAATTCCTGCCAAAGCTTTTATTCAGGATGAAAGTAGTCCTTCTGTTCCTGTGTCACCTTTTCAAAGTTCCTCCCAGAGCTTTTACCGGAACAGACTAGGCCTTTAATTCCTGTGTAACTGTTTAAAAGTTCCCATCATAGGTTTTTTACTCAAAATGGAACATTCTATGTAGTTCCTATGTCACATTTTCAAAGTCCCTCTTAAAGTTTTTACTCAGGACGGCACTAGCCCTTTATTTCGTGTGTTACCTTTTCAAAGTTCCTGCCAAAGCTTTTACTAAGAATGGAACTACCCCTATTGTTTGTGTCACATTTTCAAAGTTCCTGCCAAAGCTTTGGCTCAGGATGAAACCAGCCCTTTAGGTCCTGTGTCACCTTTTCAAAATTCCTGCCAGAGATTTTACTCATGACGGAACTAGCTC